CGATGGTGTTCTGAACATCATCAATGGTCTTAAGCTGTCCTCGGCGACTGGAATAGACAAAATTAACTCAAAATTTATTAAAGTTACAAATCAATACCCTTCCGTAATCCTTTCTCATATTTTTCAGCAATCACTTGAGACATCATTGGTACCAGCCGACTGGAAATTTGTTAAAGTTATTCCCCGGCACAAACCTGGTAATAAGCATGTTCCTATCAATTATAGACCCACCTCGTTAACCAGCGTTCTCTGTAAAAGTTTTGAACAGATAATCTATACGCAAGTTGTTAACTTCCTAGAATCCAATTAATTTTTTTCCCCAGCTCAACATGGCTTTAGAAAATAGTTATCTTGTGAAACGCAACTTTTGTCTATTACCAGCGACTTTCATGCAACATTTGATCATGGATCTCAGGTGGACTGCATATTTCTAGACTTTGCCAAAGCATTTGACAAGGTATCGCACCGAATTCTATTGCTTAAGTTAAGTAAACTTAACATCGACTCTAACATGTTTAACTCGCTAGTATCATTTCTAACGAATCAATCACAATCTGTAACGTGTAATGGTACTAATTCCTCCTCTGCACCAGTCTCTACCGGAGTACTTCAGGGGTCTGTTCTGGGATCTCAACTCTTTTTAATATATATATTAATGACTTGCATACGGAGTTTCTTCTTCAACCAAACTCTTTGCTGATGACTGTGCTATTTATCACATTATATCTAATGACTCTGACTCACAAAAACTACAACATGACCTAGTTATGTTGTAGTGCATGCTACACTGGCGTGAACTCTGGACTCAATATAAAGAAATGTAAAATAATGCGTATAGCACGTAAAGCCCATTTTAATTTCCCTTATAATATTAATGACACATCCCTAGAACTTGCAAAACTCATATAAGTATCTGGGAGTGATTTTAAGTGCTGACCTTTCTGGGAAACTTCATATTAACTATGTGACTAACAACACCAATCAAATGCTTGGTTTTCTCAAATGCAACTTTTATCTCGCCCTAGCATCATTAAAACTATTCCTTTATAAAACACTAGTTAGGTCCAAGCTAAAGTATGCAGCTTCCATCTGAGATCCCTATACCCTTTACCTCATTCATTCACTCAAAGGCATTCAGAACAGAGCTGCACGCTTCATAATGGCCAATTAAAACCGCACCGCAAGCGCAACATCCATGAAAGATAGTTTGTTACTCCCAAGCCTCGCACATCGTCGCACAGTCTCTCATATTTGTCTTTTTCATAAAATCTATCACTATATTCCTCAGTTTAAATCAAAACTCATCATCCCCCCCCTACTATGTGTCAGCACGCCTTGATCATCGTCACAAAGTCGATGCCCCATTTCACCACTCCAACGTGTATTATGACTCTTTTATTCCCAGAATTTCCAAAGACTGAAACCGCTTACCCGCACTGGTCACATCAATTAATGACCACACACTTTTTTGTACATCTATTGCCAATTTCATGTTCCCTTTTCTTTAAGTATTGTATATTTTGTTTTATTTGTATTATTGATACTATTGCTCCCACTCCCCTCTGTAATGCCTTGTGCCCTCACGGTAAAATAAATAAATAAATAAATAAATAAGAACATATACAAACAACATACGATTAAATAAGTTATAAGAAACTTCTTATCAGTTTCTTATAAATTCTTATATACTACTCTTGTATTGTTCTTATATGATATTGTTTGATCATTGCACCTATTGGATCAAGAAATTTCTCGTACAAATAAAATCTTTCACTAGAGATAAGGCACCGTAACAAGATGCTGATTGATGAAAGGTAGTACAAAGTGCTGTGCATGGTTATTTTAGGTATGAAATTAAACATAAAACAAAAAGAAAACTTCATTGAAGTCATGCTAGAATATAATAATTTTGAGCAACCTAATCAATGTTTGGTTCAAGTTCTAAAAACTATAATAAAACTGCAGTTCTTAATTTTGACAGAATACAAAGCTTTTGTCATCTGATTATGAACATCAATTGCACTTTATTACCGGAACTTCATATTATCAAAAATCAAAATGTGAACTATAACAACACTTTCTTAGAAAAAGAAAGAAAATAACCCCGCCAAACTCATTCAGGTTATTTTCAGGCTTGCATTTACTGCTCCAACTATAATTTAGTTTTAATTTTATGTATTCACAGTGCCATCAAAAGGATGTAATCTATATAAAGGTAATAACTAAACGAGAGTTGACTTAAAAAATAAACGAGCAGTTCATAACAGTTATTTTGCAATATTCAAGTATCCTTGATAAATCTTGAATGTAAAATATTATTGTCAGATTTTTCCAGTCTATCGTATACAAACTAGCCACAGCTCTTTTTTTCTTTTTTTCATTTTTTTTTTTCAAAATTGTGTGTAGCGTTTTATTTTGGCGAAGTGCTTTTCCCTTAGCACGTGGATGCACTGCAGCGAAGCAAGGTATGCAAAATCGCGACTCCCCCTGTATGCGGCTGTCGCTTCATAGCAGTATGCGGTGACAATTGCACAACGATGCAGAGTTATCCAGTCAGAATAGACAATGATTACAAGAAATATTGCAAAACTTCTGAGCATTGTCAATGCCTGATACAGAGATCAAATCAAATATGATGTTATGGCGATAATCGGAAGTTTCGAAAATTAACGGGGCCTGATTATATATTCAGTTTTAGTAAAGTGAAAATAAGTTTTGGTGCAAGGTTGGCGCAAATTTCTCACATTTTAGAAAAATGTAGCAGGACGTAGCGGGGTAAGTGCTTCGGAGAAGTTTGGTGCAAATGGCGCAGCAATCACCTCACCGTATTTGAACTGGTCCGTGCTGTCCGGTCATGTCACGAGGGCCATCGGAAACGGCGAAGACAAAGACCCCATCACGGTGTTTTTGTATCATTGTTGAAAAAAATATTTGCATGTGCTTACTGTTAAGAATTGGAAACTTCCAAAGTCTCCCAGACGTCGCTCGCCAAAGCAGACATCATTGTGTGTTGAATGATGACAAAATACAACTATTAAAAAGCAAAGGTTTCTTCTGCGGTTGCAATAACTGACAAAACATGGCAGAAGCACGGCACGGCGCATGCTAGGGAGTGCCAGCACCGTCCCAAATGGCAGATCACAGAAGCCTCTCTTGTGAATATGTATTCACTATGTAACAGTTGCCACAAACACAACAGTAGTGCTTTTGTGATAATTTACTAACACAGGTTAGTGCTGAACACTGATCACAACCCTCGACGGTAATTCCACCATGTTGATAGCGCTTGTGAAGGTATTTCAGATGCACGAGAAAAAATTAAAAAAAATGGGAGATTACCGCAGAGCTGCACTGTGTGTATTTTCTATATTGGGTACAATTTCATAAACAGCATGTCAACCAGCACAGAAGTCTGACTGCAACTTTGGACAATTCCAAAGTGAGCCGAGGATTTTCGATCAGGCGCAGTTCTTTCTTCTACAGACTTGCTCCAAACCAGTGCACCAAAGATTCCATCGGCTTTCAACAAAGGCAGCAAAGATTTGCAGAAATCCGCCGGAGGGTGAGAGTTCTGGACATCCGTGGTCCTTGGGTGCTCGAAGCATCGACGAATCTCCAGTCTTGGATGGCAACAGCTTTAGGCTTTGAAAACTCCAATGTCAAACGTTCCGGACGTCATAAATTCTAGGACCCCACATCCTCTGGTGCTGAACACTCAGTGTTGGTGGCACCAGACACCAGATACTTCGTGCCACAGAGGCTCAAAATGTCTTCAAACTTGTCTTCCTTTTGCAGGACCGAAGAGGGGCAAGATGTAACATCGGCACGGCTGAACGAGATGCTGCTGAGCTACAACTCTGTTGCAGGAACTCGTAGAAGAGTGGCCGTCCAATCGCGAGACAAAGCATTGCCGCGAAACCACACGCTCAGCATTGCCGCGAAAGCACAATCTTTTCTCTGAACCCGAGAAACTAGGGCAGCCGACCTTCATGCCGCACTAGTAGCATTCACCAATGCTCCTTTTTAGAGCGCAGCTCTTAGGGGCCCGTTTCCAGCTTGAGCGGCGTCACCGTCGGCGTCGGCGTAACCGGGGGGGGGTCACGTGACCCCCCCCCCCCTCCCCCAAGGTCACGTGACATCCCCGAGGTCACGTGACACCCCCCCCCCCCTTCCCGAGGTCACGTGACCCCCCTCACCCCAGATCACGTGACCCCCCCGGGGTCACATGACTACCCGCAGGTGACGTGCCCCCCTCAGTACCCTTCCCTACTCCTCCTCAAGAGCTGCGCTCCAATTCGGCGTTACAGGGATTTGTAAACGGCTTTCATTTTTTGAACCACAATCAATGCAATCGAAGCAAAGCCTCAACAGACCCTTTCGGAAATTCAGCACCATCTAGTGGCATATCAGTCTCACCTTTTCATTCTAATGGCGGTAAAACTGTTGTATTTTATCTTGCACCGTGACTTTCATACATCAAGGACAGATGGAAATGTGTTCTTTGCCATACAGTTCCTTCTCAATTTGTTTCAGCTTCGTTTGGTGACAAAGAAACTACCCCCTTGTACGAAGACCTGACACTGACCTGAGTAAAGCCCTTGATGAAATCAAGGGGCTCGCGGGCCATGCGTGAGCCAACCTATTAATTTGACGCTAGTCAGAAATTAACACTGACAGAGCGCTTATATATGCAATTTGTGCATGACATTTGGCTAACATTTAGAATTTAAGGCCTTGTGTTATCCGCCTCGGAGTATGTTTTCGACTAGTAGCTTTATCAGCCGCTGGAAAGAATCCATTAGTATGCGACAGATACCATACACTCCGGTGATGATGGTGACCAAAGTGGCCATACAGAATTTCGGAAAGGGTCTACTGGGGGCAGATAGACAACCGGCAGCACTGCCAATGATGATTGCTCCCCGCCGTCATCGAGACAAATAGCCAAAGCCTGGCCACCTCAAGAGGGGCCCCAGAACCAACGGAGCAGGCAGACTCACCTTCGCCTCGAGCAGGTCGTGGTTCTGCCGCAGCTCCGAGCGCTCCTTCTCCGCCTTCTCCAGTTTGGCCCTGAGCTGCCCCACTTCCTCCTGCAGAGAGGAGGAACGTTGCCTCAATCACTCATCCATTGGAGTTAGTCGAGCTGCAAGGCTTCTTTGCCGATTGCCCGCCCACCCCAAAATTTATTGCAAGCTCCCAAGTGACGACAGGTCGGCTGTGCAAAGCCCAGAACTTCTGTCGACGGCATCCACAGGCATGGCCCTTGTCCCCTCTGCCATTTCCGTCCACCTACAGACTGCTAAATGTTTGTGGGCACCACCATCTGCTTCAAGGCATCCTTTTCTGTACGCTCCTGCACGACGCAAAAATGTAGCGAACCCGGCCCAGTGCCCACACTTGACTGTCATGAAGTGGAATGGCTCTTGGATCTGGTTTCAGCTTCAGCAACCAGGTTGGAAACTAACGTCAGGCGTGTTCGGTGATGGATTTGGGTGTTATAACTGTGTGAAACCGCCAAAGGAGCCGAGTTGATTTCGGCTGCCGAAAGCGTGGCGTGACACAAAGCAGAGGAGACAAACGTTGTATGTGCGGACCCCGCCGAGAGAAGGAGGTGTGCAGCAAAGCACACTTGCCAGACACGGGGACACCTGACATGCAACCAACCCCGCGAGAAGAATTCAGAAACAAAAGGAGTTTAGCTTGCAACCAGGGCTAAGAACGTAGAGCTTTGCCAAGCTTATTGCTGTCAACGTGGCCGCAAACAGCACACTGGCAAGCCCCATTCTTCACGGCACTTGGATCAGGTGGCCCCGCACTCACCAGGGTGGACTTAAGCTGCTCCTCGGTGCGGTGCACGTTGAGCACGGGGGCAATCTTGACAAAGAGGCGCCACCAGGGCCAGCTGCGGATCTCGAGGAACCTGCGCACGTTCCGCTGGATGCAGCACAGGGCCATCGCCTGCACCTGCACACGAAAAAAACAGTCTTTCGTCATGGCTATGTCATCGCAGTCACATTGTTGCGGTCATTCTGCTGCAATTGTGATGCTCGACAAGGATGTCCGAATGCCCCCTAGTAATGGTAGCCCACTCAAAGCTGATTAAAGGGGCCACCACCGAGAAAATAATATTTGGGTCAAAATAATTTAGTGTGCCTCGCATGTTTAATAGCACTATCATTTCCGGGAAGCACTGAGTTGGCGGATATTACCAAGTTATTCTGATATCACAGCTGTGTTTTCGCACTGTTAATAGAAAAACTAAGTGTCTTCATGTCTAACTCAAACCCGACGACCAAGGGAAACTTGTTGACTGATCTTGCATCGTGTGAAGTCTTTCGTGACACTAAAATCACGCTCTCGTTTAACTGTAGTGACAGCGCTAGAAAAAAACCAACAGATGCAGTAAACCCCCGCCGAAACAAGGTCAATGGGGCCCAGCTCCCGATGGCCCTTCTCTCGGTGGAGCTCCCACGCACCTTCCTCTGCTGGTGGCGCCTGCGTGCTAGGAAGCCCCGTGCGCGGGCTTGCAACCGCACCACTTCTTCGGACAGCCTCTCGTCCCTCTGAGCCTCGAGCTGGGACAGCGTGCCTGCCCGCAGGAAGATCTGCGCAGACAGGAAAGAGGCCGTGGTCCCATAAATGTCCACGCACACTCCGCTCTGCACTCTGCGGGCCACTAACCAGCACTAAAAGGCATCGTACCGACAGACACTCTTCGGTGAAACAACAGAAACGTCTTTAACAGTATTATTGTTCCAGCAACTTTGAGGGAAGAAGGTTGCAAACAGTGAACAGGCCTCATCCTGTTTTCAAACACCAGATTTTTTTATGCTCTGTCAGTAGCGGTAAGTTAACTCGTTACAATGCACCTACTACACTCTCTTCTCCACTAAGCTGAGATGGCAGTCAGCGAAAGCCACATACTTATTGGACCAGCCAGCCGTCAGTCTTGCACCATGTGATCAAGCAGGGGGCAGGGTCAGGCGATGAAAGGCTCATTGGTAGAGCGAGCATGTTGCTTCTATCGCACTGTCAACTTAGAGGTAAACGGAGTATAGCGACCAGATTCTATACACGCATCAACTTTTCTGTGCAACACTGCAAAGTCTTGCGTAGTTCCCTCCCCCTCTACAGCCCTCCCTGCTGCACAAGGATATCTCGCGTCGCATTCAGTCACATTCTCGTGTGAAGGAGATGGCAAGCGTAACTGACCGCTCTCACAAGTGACTTTGACAGCGTCGGAGCATGGGGGAGACTACCCTATAGTCTGTTGCAGGCCGAGAAAAGCAGGACAAGCCTCATCCACAAAGCTCTCTGCTCGCCTTGATTGGCGGCTTCCTCCTCTCCAGCACTTATTCTACTAAAGAGGAAAGAGTGAAGGGTTTTGTGGGAGGAACTTGTCCTGCATTACGACAGAGCATAGCCCCAACAACCTAGAACAGCAAAGGCGATACCGAGTATAGATGCTTCTTGGAGGCTGTACACATCAACTATGTAATCGGTGCCAAGTATCTCGACCATTTTAGTGCTCGCTCTCTCAACAAAGTTTGTAGATCGAGGTGTCGTCACACTACCCCGCTCCATAAGGGAGCGCAAGTAGTGGCCCTGCGGGCCAGAGCTCACCTGACTGAGTCCCAGTCGGTAGCTGCTCGGCTCCATATCCAGGTGGTGCAGGAGGGCCTCCACCGCCGTCCGCTCGTCCCCGCGCTCGGGCGTGCAGTCCGCCGAGGCCAGCAGCGAATAGCGCCGCCGGAACTCCGTGTACTGCAGGTTCTCCGGAAAGCCTGCACCCAGTGCCCCCACAGGTGGCAGTGACAACACTGCCTCTCTAGGATGATCGGCAATCAAACTACTACGAGCGGCGTGGACCAATTTATGGGACGGGGGCTCAGTAATGTAGGGGGACTACTTCACCGACACATTCTAAAATTAGGTCCTTTTGTCTTCTAGGAAAAGTTTGATTTTCGGTTCAAGAAGCTAATGAGTAGAGCTGGAGAGAGGGAAGTATCTCGAGTGAGAGCTAGGGTAGGAATGGGGACTAATGCCCCATTTACTGGAAACTACCGTGGCACGTCATCGACATGTACGCAAATCTAATGTAATTGTAAATACTTCCTGAACAAAACTAAATTGAAATTCATGAGTAAGGCATGTGGTATGCTTGTCTTTCAAATCCACAAAGTTAAGTGTGTTGGGTAGTGATTTTGTAAAGATTGGAACAGTATATACCAGTGGTCTCAAACCAGGGCCGTAAGAAAAATATTTCAAGGGGGGGGGGTTTCGGGGACAACGGCGGCCATTTTGAAAATGTCTATTGTCTTATTTTCGCCTATGAATCATGTGCATCGGTGGCATATAATGGAGAGTTATAGCAAACCGGAGAACCGGTCCCGGTTTGGTACCCGGTAGCCGACCGGCGCCACTGCGCGTCCGCAGAGGTGGAGATTAAAATCGGCTGGCTGCAAGTGCACCGACCAGGGTCGTAAACAGAAAAAAATTTCAGGGGGGGTCAGAACCCCCTAACCCCCCCCCCCTGGTTACGGCCCTGTCTCAAACTCATTTCAGTGTAGGGGCCAGTTGGCCACCCTGGAAGGGCCGAGGGCCAATGTTAGAAGAAGGGGGGTTTAAAAGATTTAAAAGAGGAGAAATTTCGGGTGCTCTATGTTTTTCGTAAACGTAATTCTGCCAGTGACATCTTTAGATTTGATTTGTTTACATGACTACTTTGGGCCCTGACCTGATGTGAAAACAAGAATTAAAATGACAGTGCCCCACCAACGTGCCGGCCTTTTTAATAGAACAAGAGAGCAAGCTACACTGTTGTTCCTGTTGCTCAATTCATTTGGGAATTAACCAAGCTGAACATGTCTATAAAAAGCAATCAGTTATTTTGACAGTTCTTGCTTTTCTCTTGATTTTTAATACAAAACTCTGAGAAAATACTTGTCTTTTAATGGTGACATTTTTTTGAAGGCAAGAAGCCCGAGCTCGTAACTTTATTGTTCGCAGTTGCTCCTGCTGATCGAGAGTCTGCTCAGCCAAGATGCATCCTTCAATGAATAGTTTGCGCTTGCAGCCTTGTAGCGGAATCGTTGTACATTACAAAAAGCTGGGAAGCAAGCAAGAAGGCAAAACAAAGGGCAAATGAACACAAATAAGTAAAAACTATGTGAATACATTAAAAGAGCAAAGGTACTTTTCGAGCAAAAATGAATCGGCGAGATTAGATCACAATGGCGCATGCCATTTTTAGCAATCGAGACAAGGGAACCGAGACTCGTAGCCGGTTGCCTGCATGTGAGCCGCGCCCCAGCGAGTCGCGGGCCGCATGCGGCCCGCGTGTTTGAGACCCCTGGTATATACCCAACTGGCTCAATTCTTTACCATCTATACACTCACCATCTGCCTCCAAAAAGATACAGTAAGAAAAAGTCTGTGCAAAGCGCTCGATACAGGAGCTGTGAAGAATCCCCGGAACAGTACGGTGCTCTGCAAGTGCCCCTCCGATGCAAGAAAGCTGCCCCCTCTCAGAAGCATGTGCCGTAAAGATGAGTGGATGGATGTGGCAGGCTCCCCACCTTGCTTGCGCAAGCGCACCGCATCCAGCACCTGCGCCCCCTTCAGCTGCGAGCGCACCAGGGGCACGTCGAAGTGGGCGTCGTCTGCGGCACCGCCGGTTCCTTGCTCCAGGGGCTGCATGCTGGGCACCAGGCAGTGCACGAAATGTAGCCGCGTGCGCCGCAGCACCTCCAGCATCCCGTCCTGCGGGAAAACAAGAAGGGCTCGGAAACGTCCACAGGGAGTGTGGCAGACAAAGATAGCGGCGGGCACTTTACCGCACCGCCGTTTTTTGACGGGAGACACTTTTCCCTCTAAACTCTGTCGATTCCCAAGATTGAAACTGTCCCCGGTTTCCCTTGAAGACTGCTGGAACGCTCCTCGTCTGCCTATAACTACGGTGAAATACCACTTAAACAAACTCTGAGGGACCTCGAGAAACATTTTGCTTAAGTTTGCTCATCCTCATAATTTGTTTAAAACTACCCAGAAAAAACAATTTCTGCAAAAATAAAGTTGATTTCGAAAAATGTCATTTTTACATCCACCAACATCTAGAGAGTATTCCCAGAAAGTTTCATTAGTTTACACTGCATAGTTAATTTTTTATAAATTATGTTTGGCCCACCGATGATAAAGAAAAGGTAGAGGTTGAACACATTTTTCTCCGTTCCACTTTTTGGAATAAATTTCACTTTAGAAAAACTATCGTTTGTTAATGGGACAAAAGAAAAGACTCGCGCATTGTTTTTCCCAACTGAAATTTTATGGGCAATGCAACTTTGGAATTGTTTTTTACTTTCTGCGTGTCTTTCATAAAAGATGTTAAGGTTTTCTCGACAACATAAAAAGCAAAAAATATATTTGAGTTTTCACTGCGATGTTAACATAAAATAAACTACTTTTATGAAGAAAAACGTTGGATGTTATATTAGTTTTTTAATGATAGTTCTCTTAAACAAAATCAGTGTATTCCTGATAAAAATTACTATAATTTCTTTTACAATTCATGTTCACAGATGAAACTTCCCACTGCGTTGTTCCTCACAACTGCCAGTATATACTATAAATTTCATTCATATTCATCCAAAAGTTAAAAAGTTAGCCGTCTTAGGTAGTCCCCCTTAAGTGGTGCAGTAAAACCCTTAATGTTCGAGGGCCCCTAATTTTCGCGAACTTCGCAAATTGAAAAATTTGTGAAATTTAAGGGCCCGCGAAAATTTTGGTTCTTAAGAGTTTCAACGCAGGCGCTGGAATTCGCAAAATTTAGTGGCCACGAAAATAAAGAGTTTTACAATATTTCACTGTAGACAAAAGGTTTTGCAGTATATGCAAAATAAACTCTATGTGCCATCTATAAGAAAAATGGTGCCAGATCCATTTAGAGCCCACGGTGAAGGGAAGACACGTAAAATTTATGTGAAAGTGTTTCAGGGCTTCCCGACAGACGGCGTCGGTGCGTTCCTTGGTCGTAAGTGGTCACAAGCGCTACCAACACAGCCAATCACGCTCGAGCACAAATATGTCAACCGGCCTTATCTCTCCTAGAGGGCTCCTCTTCCGATCCAATTGGTTTTTTCCGGCTAAAGCTTCTCGATAAAACCCACACTTCGCGATTCTTCCGAGTATCGACAACCCTCGCTGCATGAAACGCGCGAGACACATGACATGAGCGAGCACTCCGCCGCCATTTTCTTTCGAGGACAGCACACGGAGCGTCTCCAGCAGTTCGATTTGCCTCGGGGCAAAACTCTCCCAAGGCGCGACCAAATTTTCTCGGATTGGGGACCGTCGCGTAATCCAAGGGAAGGCAGGCGCGCGAAGGCCCGAGACCCACCGTGGTGTACTTGACCTGTAGAGGTAGGGAGCGGCGCTTGGCGGCGGCGACCGACTGCGCCCGCCGGATGCTCGGGGTTCTGCGCAGCGAGGAGGAGGCCCCGGCGTCCAGGCTCAGGGTGCTTCCCGCCGACGCCAGGGGGCCCCGAGAGCAGCCGAACAGCTGGGCCAGCTGCTCCCTGCAAAGACCCTTCCGTGTCGACTCCTCGGCCCACAAGCAAGTGCGCCCGAGCTACGGTGCCGAACGCGCCTCCAACTGGCGTTTTTAGCATCCCGCAGCACCCAAGCATTAAAAGTGGTCTGGAAGTGGATATGGATTAGGTCGCGGAAGCTGGTGTGTCATGCCGTCGGACGTCGCGATCCCGGCGGTCGATCGTTAAGTCAAACCAGTTTATACCGAACTCACTCGCAAAAAACCGTCTACCAGTTCGATAAAGTAGGTAATTCGATATAAAAGTTTTAATATCTGACAACAAATAAGCGCGCGACATTTAGAAAAGTTGTTTATTCTCAAAGGAGCGTCTGTACGTCATGAGGGACATGCCACGTGGCTATTCAGTGGCCGCTTCATTTTCCAAGGTCTCACCGCCTCACCCTCTCCCTGCTCCCTCCGCAAAAAATAATTTTTTTTTTCTTCTTCGGGGTTGCCCGGAATAAAAAAAGCTAGCTTGCTCTGCAAGCTGGCTTTCCCCCAACACAGGTGTCCGCATTGGGGGAAAGCCAGCTTGCAGAGCCAAACGGCTCTCTTGGTAGTTCGATCTATCAAGAGACGCTGCAATTTTCGTTCGATGTAACCACATTTTTCGCTATGCATTTTCATTGCAGCTACTAGTCTGTTCAGAAATAGCTTGATACAAGAAATAGTTTGAATTAACCAAGTTCTATATAATTGGGTTTGACTGTAGAAGTTCCGGCAAAAAGTGAGATGGAAGGCCGGCGTCGCTGTCATTGCAGCATCCCTATAGACCCTTTTCGAAACCTCACTGGGCAACGTTGGCGGTCACTATTTCTTGGGCACGAGGTCTTGCCGAACGCTGATACGAGCCGAGGTAAGTTTGCGCCACACGCCGACCCGGACCTCGTGTCCCAACACGTGCTCAGAGATTGTGTCCAAAAACTGGTGAACTCGGGTAAATGGCACAGCAACTACTTTTAAAAAGGGCATATTTCGGTCTGCCGAACCTTCGGTGCATATGCTGAAGAGCGACCTACAATGGAAGGTACTCCCACTGCATCCATCACCGCCATTGTGCCACCGAAACGATCGCGGCAAGCAACAGCATGACGTATGTGTGACGGCGTCAGACGAAAATCGAGGGATCACAAATCAGAATGCAGCAAGCGCACGAGTCGAAGATGCATTCCAGACACCACAGCCAAGTGGCTTGCAAGAACACCCTTCTCCCTGGGTGATTGTTCACTAAATCTGTGTCCCACTACAAACACCCAAAAGATACAGCGAGAAATAGAGCCTCGAAACTCTGGAGGAATTGAACAAAGCTTCTACCAAAAACAAAATGTAAGAAAAGATGCACACTTGCCATTACTCTTTATCAATATGTTGCACTGCTCAGTTCTGCAAAAATACAAGCTCAAAGACGAAAAAAAGACAGGTTGGACAGGTATGGATAACGTATTTGTGTATGTAACTTGGAGGCACAGTACTGGTCAAGAAGAAAGATAAACCAAGTGGACCCTTCTCATCTTTTGCTTACCATTCAATCGCAGGATGTTGCTCGGTAAGAAAATAAAACACCCCCCGGCTTCCAACTGGTGCAGGGCAGATTTGCTTAGCATCAGAGCCCATTTGCAGAACACTGCACCCCACATCAATGACATTGGCTAAGCCAGCTAAGCTGACAGATTTCCCATACAACCACCTGACTGCTCTTGGATGCTATGGTTGAAAGGAAATTAAGAAAGTGCCAAATAAGCACCACCACATACCAGCCATGGCATCAAATCGCTCCGTGGACCGACCAAGAAAGGTAGTAGCCACGACGAGTTGTGTGACCTTAGTACGATGTGCACCCTGACAATGGACTACTTGAGCGTTGCAGAGGTACAGCGGCTAGCATTAATGAGGGTCTGAGAGGAGCTTTAGGTGCATCCTTAAATTATATAGTATGACTATAGCTGTGATCTCTTCTGGCTCCCTTGATCGGTGTCTTTTAGCTTTTTAAATTGATGGGTGCCAATGGGATTAAAAGAGAGGTGAAAATGAACATACTTCCCAGGTAGACTCAACCGCTGCCTTCTTTCAAACAAAAAATAAATTATAAATGACAGCACAAAATTGACCACCCCGTTTCATGACTACCGTAATCAGCTCACTAAAAGAAAAATGAGCTGCCACGTCAGTGAACCGTTTGACCAACAGTCCCTTCAAATCTCCGCAGCAGTGCTTAAACGAGTCAAATTCTACTTATGAACTAATTTCGCTATTTGCACCCCTTTGCAGTATTATCCCAGTAGTTAGTCCACCTCCAAGAGATGCCCCATTCCTCAAACTTCAAGGCAGGCTTCGGCCCAAGATGCCACGCTGGGGTCTTAAGAGTTCTCTGATTTGAGATTGCCCCAACCTGAAAGTTCCCCAACTTGAGAATTTTCCAAATTGAAAGTTCCCCAACTCGAATGCTTACCAACTGAAAGTTCCCCAACTCAAGAGTTCCACAACTCCAGAGTTGCTCAACTTGAGGGTTCCCCAACTTGAGGGTTCCCCAACTCTAGAGTGGCTCAATTCACGAGTTCCCCAACTCGGAAGTCCCCCAACTAAAGTCCTCCAGGCAAAGTCCCAGTGCTCACTTGTGGGATTCCTGGAGGAGAGGCTGTGCCTGTCGGAAGGCTGGACCTTCCCGAGCTGCCCTCAGCCATCCCTGGACCCCGTAGGTCACCGGCAGGGACCCCAGCTGATGGTGAAGCACAAACTGGCCCTCCCGGGGACCAGGATGTACCAGACGCTGCTCCCGGCCATCTGCACGAAAAAGCGGGGACCCCTATGCACAACCATGGCAGACACCCTGGACCATCTTCTATACTTCATCACGTTACACTCCATTTCATCTAAAAATGTGCCAAAGCGGGCGCTATAGGGTATCCCAGCCAATCCAGCACGGTGAGCACGTCAAGTGACTATGGGCTCCACGTGGCACTAACCCCTCCGAAGGTCACATGACGCTCGCACGGCACTCATAGTATCATGTGTGGTCACCGTAAAGCAAAACAAAGTATAGTTGGCCACAGTGTTATAAAAGATACAGGAAAGAGGAAGTAATGCAAGCAGTTGGAGTGGAGGGGAACGAGGGAGTTCCCGTACTACTGATACTCTCTTTTGTGCATCTCAAGGGTCACCTCTGTGCCTATAGACGGTTAGCCCACGCGCGAAAAGTTGTAATTTTGCAAAAAAAACAAGTTTTTGAGTCAAAGTAACATTTTAGACTTGTGTAAATATGCAAATGTGACACGAGTGGTCAACCGGTCGTGTCCGCTTGCGTAGCCTTAGCAACAGAGGTCTCGTTTACTGACCTTCACACATGTATGTTTGACGAGAAACGTTTGCATGTCACAAGCAGCAAGTTCACAGCAATCGTTGCCCACCTTGCTGGGTCTTTCAGACCGTTTGTGACATGCACCTCCCGTACGAGTGCGATGTCGCCCTTGTGATGTATCCCAGGCGAAACCTAAGCAGATCTGGGTCGGAGCCCAAGCATGACACCGAAGAGCTACCGGCAGTTGCTTTTTTAATGGTGCCTCAAATCCCAATGCCCGTGCACCCGTACCGTGCCCAAGGCCCCCGCCCTTAAAAAATGTGTGCGCGTGGCAACGCCCTCTCTCGTCCGCCAGCTGATACATGACAGCCCTGTATTGAAAACTGCAGTCACAAGGATGCCGCCGATGTCGCACTCACGACGACAGCCAAAGTGGCCACAGCCGAGGTTTTGGGAGCCGCCAGTTTTTAACTGTGCTCATTGTGTATGCATGCAATTTCCGAAAAATAGCAATACGCTAAAATAGCGCACGCAAAAGGCAATTAGCGTTCGGGGCACGCACACTGGCGACGACGCTATTCTTTGCATACGCAAAGCCATTGCATAAGTTATTCCAAAATTTCTTATTATTGAGGACATAGGTGTATGCCTCGCTCAGGGTGAATTTACAAAAGTTCCAATATTTAAGAGATGATGCAGCTCGAACACTCTTTGCAGCGGAGCTGTTAACGGCTAGTTTCCTCAGTATCGTGTCCGCGGACAAAAAAAAAAATGTTGACACAAAACTCCAGACAGCTACCGCCATCTATAAGCAACTGCAGCAACTAGACAACCGGCTTGCCGGTTGTCTGGTTGCTGTAGTCGCTCATAGAAGGTGGCAACCTTTTTAACCTTTCCACTCTGGTTTTTTCCAGAGTGGAAAGGCTGAATTTCTACAGCTGTCATCCTAGAAGTCGTCTTTGAGGTCGTCCTAGACGTCGTCCTTGAGGTCACCTTGAGGTCATCCTTGAGGTCATCCTAAGTCATCCTTGAGGTCGTCCTAGACGTCGTCCTCAAGGTCATCCTTGAGGTCATCCTAGAAGTCATTCTTAAAGTCATCTTAGACATTGTCCTCGAGGTCGTCCTTGAGGTCGTCCTAGACATCGTCCTTGAGGTCGTCCTAAACGTCGTCCTCGAGGTCGTCCTTGAAGTCGTCCTAGAAGTCGTCCTAAAAGTCGTCCTAAAAGTCGTCCTTAGTCATGCTAGATGTTGTCCTTGAGGTCATCCTTGGGGGCATCCTAGACGTCATCTTCTAGGCATCATACTACCCGTCGTAAAGATAACAGCTTCGCTGGCCCTCCATCTTCACGTGAGGTGGAAGGGCTCTACATTTTATTTTTTCATATTTGCCCTAGGATAATGAAGCCTCTAGTGTTGTGCAAAGGTTATACTATTTGACATTTCGAATAGTAGTTTTGAATAATACACCATTCAATATTAGCTTTGAGATGAACTGTTATATTCATATTTTTTAAAGCGCTGATTGTGGCGGGTCAGCCGCACTGAGCGCACTTCTTACTGATCACAAGTACACTGCAGAGAAGCAACACCCGCTAAAAAGTGCTCCGCGGCTGTTGCTTCTCCGCAGTGCACCAATGCTCAGAAAAAAGAGCTCTTATCGATGTAACCTTGGGAGAAAAGCACACTTTCAAAGCAGTACGGTGCACCTGGTGCATTGAAAAAGAAACAAACTTTGTGAATCATTGATACATTGCAGTAAAATTTTTAGAATTTCAGAGTGCCTTGACAACTTTCGTTCGTCATTCGTGACTTTTGTTTTTTGCATGTAGCACAATTTCTAAATTCATTCAATTAGATATAGCTGGGCATCTCTATAGATTTAATTTTATGTCAAATCTGCCAATCACTTGCCATCCCAAGGCATTGGACTTTCTGAAGTCACAGTTCATAAATACAATTAGATTCAAATTACCTTGTATATGGACAAATAGAAGCTTGGAAACAACCTTCAAGAGTTTAGCTGGGTTTTCGTTTCAGCCAGTGCAACAGTAGTGAAAGGCTAAAAAGAACTATACGACATTCAATTAAAAAATAGTTGGCCAAAACCACAATTTGCTTTGAATTCGCTTCAAATTCATTTTCAACTCAAAATACACTATTTGCAAATGACTAGAAACTTCAGCCAATTATAAAGCTGTGTCTTCTCTTTTCAAAACAATTATTAGTTTTAATGTTGCTTCTATAGTTCTGCGTTCAGAGGCAGAAACATTAACATAAAAAGGGGTTTTAGTGAACACACCGAGGCACACCAATTTTTTATAAGGAGCATGGTGCAGTAACTTATTTTGCTCCCTATGAAAAGTAGAGCACCAGCATTTAGCCAAAAGCTGTGTACCATTTTTTTTATTTAGAAAAGAAAAAAAAAATATGTTATAAAGCTTTCTTTTGAAAAGCCACTTAGGTGTTAGACTTTGCAGACAAGATATTGCAATTCCGAAAAGATCTCCGGCACTCCCCATATTCTCAAGATAATACTTTAAGAATATCATTATGATTGCAAGATTCCAAGTACCAAAATCTGAATGCACAAATGATGGAGACAACCCAAAAATGCAAGACGAGAAAAATGCATTTGAAAGTTCAAAAGATGTTAAGAATCAATCGATCAGATTGCACTGAGAACCCAACGGGGATGGACAGGGTTCAAAGAAACCACCATTAAGAAAGTCGCTGGATGCACCTTCTTTTTCATAAACCCTTCGGAAAGATTGACGACTAAAAATGCCATCTATGCATGAAGCCTAGGGGTCATGTTATCTAGAAAAAATTTAAACACCACAAAATTTACCCTCCATGTCTGCTTTAAAAAGAGAATAATAAAATGTTTTCAAGTTTTTTATTTATTTATTTATTTTTTACTTTTTTTTCTTGCTCTGTTTTGGATCAGTGCTGCTTGCTGTGACAAATTTTATTTAAAAGTAAACATTAGACAGAAGTCTGTCTGGTTGGGGGAAATAATTATTAAAATACGACGACCAACCAGTCCCTAAATCAGGGGCCCAAAGTTTCAAAACCTGTTCGGCTTCTTCTTCGGCGCGACTATGGAGAAATGGAGCCGCATTTTTCGAAAACTAAGATAGCGGCTCCTTTCCTCCACAGTCGCCCCTGAAGCAGAAGCCGAACAGGTTTCGAAACATTGGGCCCCTGATTTAGGGACTGGTTGGTCGTTTCATTATACAGACACTGTCGAACTTCCCAGACCAGTTATTGGTTTTCTAAGGAACAACATGGTCGTACCGTTTGCAGGCCCCATGCGCAGCAGACGGTCGAGGAAAGCGTCGTCTGTGTTGCCCGGATAGAGGGCCTCGTCGTCCAGCAGCTGGAGCAGGCCGCAGGACTGGTCCGTCTGCTGCAGGTCGCAGCTGGAGGCCCTCAGTGCCGCCCCCTGAGGGGGAATCCGGTCCAGCAAGGAGACCAAGCCCTGGGGGCTTGCCACCTCTTCCGCCTCCTCCACCGCCACCTTTTCCTGCACGCATAATGTGGACGGCCCCTCTATGAGAACTATCCTCTGGGCCTACACCAGGAGCTATCCTTCAGCTTGATAAAACGAACAACAACACTTGGAATAACAAAAATAACACTTTAATTGGACGTTTTGTCTTCCACACAAAAAACATCAACGATGATGAGACGGGTGCTTCATTTTCTACCGGTCACCCCGGTGTGCGATGCGTTAAAGTCTAGAGAGTTCAATTTGCAGACAAATGCGCACTGAAACTTTGGAAGGGTTCTGTCTTTCAATTAAGAAATGTAGCCCCATATTATGAGACTAGGTGTTTTTTTTTTTTTTCGTATCCTTCAGCTCTTGGAGACAAATTGACAGGACACAGAAATTAAAAAATTTACAAGAGGACAATTAAGCTTCGCATTTAAGAGTGGAATATGATAGCTAAATATAAACCTCTATTCGTTTCCAAGCCGTTCAAGCATGTCTGCGTGGCTTAGTGGGGGGGGCTTGTCTGGTTCGCAACCGAAGCGTTGTGGGTTCGATCCCGCCTATGCCTAAAATTCTCCCAAGTGTTTCTTTGAGGCAAATTATTTACTTTACACCAATCACGATTTTCCCGTCGCACCACCACAGCTTTTCTGCACAACGAGCTCCTTAAAGCTCTCGCTTTAAAACATTTTTTTCTAATGGCTTAAATGGGACATGTTTTATTCATAATTTTCCTTGAAAAATAATTTTTCCTCATGCAATATTTACGATGCTTGGTGCAATTTAGGTGGCGTTCACCCCACGCTCTAGGCCCCACCTACAAAACGATGGCCCCACCCATAACTACTGAACTGGCTTGGCTGCTCAGCTGAACACGTTTGCAAGCCCAACGTCTCCCTGTCGCAACGTCCGGTGCATCCAGTCTGTTGTCTGACACCGTCAACTATTCGTGCGAACAGAGATGCGGCAGCGAACAGAGATGCGGCAGCGAACAGCATCGTCTGTTATTACAACAAACACTACTACCACCTTCGGAATGCCCAAAAGATGCGGCCATGAAAACGGCGCGTCTGTGTTTGCCGTCGCTTGTGTCCGTCTGCTATTCCGCCCCCCTCTAAATCTATCTGCAACGATCACAAGACACAACCATGAAATGACTTTCTAGCGTTCCATCATGCAGGAGCCACAGTCTAATACATGTGTCTGTCCACGTCTGTCGACGTGCAGTAAAAAGCGACCGAAAGAACTGAAAAAAATAAACAAAATAAATATGCAGTTCTTCCAGCTTTTTCGATTTTGTTGTTTTCTTCCATTGCATCCACAAGAAAGGTAGGTGAGCGTCATAACGCACAAGTAAAATGTGACCTAAAAATATTCGCTTTAGCAAGCCAAGTGCACTGCTCAAAACTTGAGAGCTAAGGGCTTTCTGAAGCGAAATGACAGAAACGTACCTGGACAAACCTGATACGAGGGGAACACCCGATTGCTTCCAGGCAAATGACTAGCAAATTCTGACCTGTGTGGGTTACCTCTCAGTACCGAAACTATGGTGGCAATCGCAACGATTGCACGATTCTCAGAGTAGAGGGGCCGTTTTTACGGCAACCGACACACTTATTCAGCATCAAAACGCGCAAATGAACAAATCAAGCCAGATCAAGCAAAATAATTGACATGATACGCTAGGCTTTACGCCAGTCCCCGCTACGAAAACAAGCACCCGCACAGCGCTTCCTAAGGCACAAACTTGCAACAGTTGTTTGCTGCAAACTACGTCGGTTGAGGACACCTTCCACTAAACACCTTTGTGAACGCAAAACTACTCACACTCATAAAAACGGGTAAGCTCAACAAGCTATGCGCTCCCTGCACACGCCGGCAGCCATGTTTGTCATTGTTTTAAACCAAAAAGAAAAAGATGATCTCGTGATATTTTTAAAAACGATAATACTACTTATATAATTTCTCAAACATGAAAAAAAGAAAATGTCATGGCTACCACTGCACGAAGAAACAATTTTACGGACATTTCACACGTCAATCTTCTCTCCAACCAATGGGAGAGGATAAATGGAGCGTAGTTAGCTACGTGCCCTGCTGGGACCTAGAGCGGGCTACCTACACCTAAACTGTGTCTAACATAAATATTTCACAAATTTTTCTTTTTTTATATAAGAATTTACAAAAAAAAATTGTTTCCAAATAAACCTCTTTTCTTTTCTTTTTTTTTTTACAGTTTTTTAAGGTATGTTTTGGGGTAAGAGGCATCACATTTTATCGTGGTACTGCGTGTTCTTAGGCCTGAGGAGCTTCCACATGCAAGCGCCTTGCAGTCCGGTAAAGCCGGTGCGAGTGCCCACCTGCTGGTAGCGCTCCTGCTGTGCGAGGAATGTGTGCTGGTGAAAGAGAAGCTGCAGGCGCTCCTGCACATAGTTGTGGCACAGGTCCTCCAGGGTGGCCAGCTTTCCACTCTGGAAGCCCGGGCAGTCCAGCACCTGGACCGTAGCCACGCTACGGCCCGCAGAGCCCAGGGCCCTGCGGACAAATCACGCGCAGGGGCGGTCGACCTATACCTTGTCGAAGTAGATGGTCACGTCTGTTACGAACCCTTGGAGCACCGGGAGTATAAATCGAGGCTCTGCGCTTGTACATTGTCAGTCAAAATTGAGTCAACTTGCATAACAAGTACACAATCACTCATTTGTTTAACGCCGGATGTCTTGTCTACCCGAGACTCCGTGAGTCAAACAATCTCTGCGAAATCGCTTTGTTAACATTGTCTCGAGGTGGCACGGCTGCCTCGGGTGCAGCGGTGCCCCCTCGACGTTTATGCACTGCCACCAGTGGCTACGACTTCAGAGAAGTGTCTAGTACTGGGTCGGGCAATGTCCCGTCCGCCACTCAACTTACCGGTTGACCAGGGAGACGACGGCCCCGAAGACCTCCATGTACAGGGCAGCCACAAAGTCCTGCAGGGGTTCCTGAGGGTCACCATCGCCTGTCCTGCAGCCGGGAAGAGGGGACACGATTGGGATGAGGCCCCAACAAACATCGGCCGGGTCCCGGCAAAACCCCGGCCACTCTCCAGCTAGGTTCCAGAAACTGGCCAGGCACCGGCCAAACTCTGGTTAAACCCCGGCCAGACATCGGCACTCACCGGGATGCCAGGCGGCTGTTCCCGCCGGCTGAGAGCAGAGCCTCATGGGCAAACACGGCCCGGTGTAAGTCCTCCACGGAGGTGCCCAGCAGCAGGGCCGCTCTCTGGGCACTGTCCCCCCGCTGAAACTGGAGCCGCCCGCTGGTACCTGTGGATGTGGCCCAGACTCCAGGCATGAGAAGGCCAAGCAGCCAAAGCAAACATTGGCTTCCTTGCAGCAAGATGCAAGGGCATCTATTAACGTATTCGCACATTCCATTTAAAGCAGGTCTATTCAGGCGAGAAAATGAAGTTGCGCGACGACCATCGACACTTGGGGCCCCTCTACCCAAACGTTTTTCTTTGTGCACCAGGCATGCGAGGTACGAAAAAACAGCTCCGAGGTTTTACGCTTTGGGCACATATAAATCGCTCGCGTTGCAAAAGCTTCGAGCTTCATCCGAACCGCAACAGTAAGTCTTCGACGGTTCGAGACAATAACGTTGCTCAAGCGATTAGTACTGCACGTTTCCGACGAAAAGCCACCGCCGGCCTGCAGCGGCTTTGAGCAAAGCAGCCATCAACAAAGCAACTTGCGCGAGTCCCTTCGGACCTTCGATCGAGGAGAGTGTGCCGGAAGTTCGACTTCCTCCCGTCTGGGTTACCTTCGGGCTGAGAGTCGTACCCTGCGTGCAGTTCACTCGAGGGCTGTCCGGACACAATCCGGCTCCCTCCGACTTATGCTGCCACAATATTGCACCCCGTGGGTGCACTCAAAGCAGATTAGTGGCAAAGCAGATTCGGGGGGAACTATGCGAGTGCTTCTATGAGACACAAAATCATGAATGACAAGAGGAGGGAGAAGGGATGTTTCATCAGGACAGCAAGGTCCCTAATTGGGCTAGTTGGTGATCACTGAACATCGTGAACAACAGCAATCAACGGGACAGGACAAGAGGAAGGAACACAGTGCAGATTTGTCCTGCATTCCTTCCTTTCGTCCCGTCCCTTTGAGCGTCATTTCTGAAAATGGCCACGACAGCCCTTCGCGCAACGCATTGAATCTTCCAAGCTCCGGCGGAATGATCCGAGGAGGTCCCGCGACTCACCCCGGAGGGTGCCGGCCTCCCCCAGGTGGCAGATGGCGCCCAGGACGCTCCAGAGGCCCTTGGCCTCGGACTCCCTTACTCCGAGGGTGAGCAGGGAGCCCTGCACCAGCTCCCACATGAGTGCACACTTGCTCCGCTCCTCAGGCTGCAACCGAACGAAGGGAACTGTCACACGCTGAACGAAGCAGACATCTGCCGAACTGCCACCTCCTAGATAGAAACACTGTAGTGCTGAATCTTTTATGTCCCCTACCGTAGGCTAGCACGGGGCACACCGTGGAGACTAGCGCCGCATCGTCGTTTGGTTACGACTCGCGAGCTCGATCACTGAATACGAGTTCCAGCCGAACGCCGACGCAGCACTCGCATCCAATCTGTGCCCCGTGAAAAACCTTCGGTAGGCAACGCAGAAAATTCAGCACTTGCCATCTATCCACCTAGGAAGTGCTGCCTGGCATGCACCCCACTCTCTCACCTTCCGCTGGGGCATCACAAACAGGTTCTGCTCATCCAGGCTCTCGAGAAACAGCTCCTTCCTGCGAGCAAGTTGGAACGCTCGTTGGCCTCCTTTGTACTGAACTGCGTAGTTTTTAGTCCGTCCTCAGAAAAGCGACGCTTGGCATGTGCCAAAGAGGCGCTAGCTTCGAGAAATTTCTAACGCCGTCCATAATCTGGGGACGTTCCTCAACAAACCTAAGCCTCCCGACTCTGAATACAACTTGGGACGGCTATTCAGCGAGTGATCTTCTGTCATAAGCGCGAACATGAGAGATGCAAAAGGGTTCCCAGCTGCGAAACATGCGCCGATCTCGTGCTTAGGAGGTCAGTTGAGCTCCATAATGCCAACCCATCCAACGCACACTGTGGGGTGCAACTCTATGCTTTAACAAATGTTCTAAAAAAAAAAAAAATTCCTTTAGATTTCCCTTTTGGCCTGCATCCTAAAATGCTCGACTTTGAGTTGCCTTCAGCATCAATAGTTCCCAGCCTTATAATAATTGTTAAAAACAGAGTATGAAAAAGAGAACAATTAACCAAACCCAACGCAAATTGTCACCCACTACACAATATGCCTGAGCAAGTGCTCTTCCCCAACTTTGCAATGATCGTACCATACTTATTCAAGTGCTAAAGTGTGGCCATGTCCAACTCTAAGAAAAGCAAGTCGTAGAGTCACTATTCAGAACTCCACATCCGGTTTAGCGTGCCTCCTATGTGACCAGCAGGATCATCTACCCTCGACCAAGAAAAGCGAGAACTCGCCTGAGGCTGTCGCCCACACCTGCCAGCAGGTAGTGGAAGATGTGGAAGTTGGGCTCCCCCTTTCGCAGGCCAGACACCCTCCAGCGCTCCAGCATCAGGGCCTGTGCACATTTTTTTTTTCACCCTGGGAAACGTCACAAATTCGGCCGCCAAGGGCTGCAGGTGATAAGCAAACAGTTGCCTTCGATGCACCCGAAAAGGAGCCTCCTGAAAGCTTCAAAGGTGCAGCCGGCATTTCACGAAGTGATTTCGCTCCTTCGGGACCCTAGAGCACCTTTTATCAAAATGTTCACTGCCACTTCAAAGCTTCCAGGAGGTTCCCCTTTGAGTGCTTCCCACCAATTTTGACTACTTTAGCGTTTTGCTTAAATTGAATCTAGAGTTGCAAAATAACACAGTATCCTTCGTGTTTGGTCATTGAAGTACTTTTGAGGCAACACCTTCATTAGATAACAGTCAATGGCGGTGATTCCTAAACAGTCTTCCTCCTCCATCAAGCACCGGAGTCGGTGCAAAACCAGAGTCAGTAAACTGTTGCAGAAACAGAGAGCTCTACTCGTCATTTCTTTAAAGTTGTAAAGTCTAGTAAAGTTGAAGGACTCCCGAAAGAACAGTAAAGAAAGAAGCCTTAAGGTGGCACCGACCTGTACAGAGGCCGACACAAGCTGCCCGGCGATGTCGAACTCCAAAGAGAAGAGCTGGCTGAAGCGGGAGGCATTGGCATTGGCCCATGTCCGGCTGTTGCCAAACGACTCGAGGAGCGCGGAGGCGGCCGTCAGCTTCTCTGGAGAAGGGGAGGAAAACAGCACTCTTCAGGTCCCACGTAAGGATCTTGCGCCAGGCAATGGACTGCCGAAAAAGGCTTTGCAGTGTACCTCGGTTCCGCCGAGACACTGCCAGCCTCTCCCCCAATATAAAAAAAGGACAAGCGAGAGGTCGGCTTTACGTTCAAGCTTTGCAACACGGCAAGGGGACGTTCGTCTCACACATTAATGCTTCTTATGGTCGAAGCAAGTTATAGCCCAGATGAATTTAGTTAAAAACTTGTTTGTTCTATTTGTATCCTTTTATATCTCATCCTAGAAAAAAACAAAACTGTGATTTTCTATGCACATAAACCACCGAGGCCAGAAAGTGTACTATGTACGCCATCGTACCGGCCGCTGCCAAATTTCTTTCACTCGTAGAGTGGCTGGGACGAAGTTGAAATTTGGTTCACTGGAATATCCGACGAATTTATGCGTGTCAGCCTGCCTGGCATTGCACTTACCCCATGCTTTTTTTCTGCTACGCAAGAACGCGGCGCAGCAAAAACCACAGGTCGTCACGACGAACAGTCGTCGCATTACGTCTCTTTGAATGTTACGAAAGCGTTGCCCCTGAGCAGGGGTTGGCGACCTCAAGTGTTGGCGGGTCAGACTGCAACAAAGCACGTGGCTTCGGACTAGCCGACACTGTATATTCGCGAGGGATTGGTGCCTGAAACGAATCTTAAACTACTCTGTCTAGTATGAGCAGCTGGTATAGCTATCAGCTATCCACCATGTCGCAGCCAGAATCGTGGTGAACTGTAGCGTTACAAAACTACTACAACATCACCACCCAGAGATGGGGGGAGAGGACAAGGTGAATATACCAGTTAAAGATGCATGCCAGGCATTGTAAAGTGGGGCACTTGCTTGCACGAGATTACTCAGTCTCCGCACAGTACTGCAATGACCACTCCAATACAATGGCCACTCCACAATGTACTACAACGGAAGCTATGAGCTACCGTAGTCAATCCATAGCTCGAAAAATGTCATACAGTAGGCTCACAATAATTAAAACTCAAATATTTCATACTTCTAGTTTATTCAAAATATTGGTTGTCCCATTATGTTCTTAATGAATTCATAAGCCACTTAATTCAAACAACATATTTGTGTAATTCATACTTTCTGTTCTCGCGGTCGGTTGAGTGCGCTTCTTTCCGAGCACCGGTGTATTGCAGAGAGGCAACACCCGCAGAGCTTGCTTCCACGGGTGTTGCTTCTCCGCAGTTCACCGGTGCTTGGTAAGAAACGCATCCAACGGGGCTCAAGCAGGGCACACAGAAGCTATGAAAACGGGCACCACGCGAAAATTTTCATAAAAACTTGCACGCACGCTGTGACATGGTGGCTTGGCATAAGTCCACCTCACAGCGTCCGTGCAAGTTGCTATGAAAACTGCCGCACGGTGCCCATTGTCGTTGCTCATGTGTCCTCTGCTTAATACTTCACATTAGACAACTTCTTGGCCTGATGAACAAACTGAATTTTGTTTCGTGTTGTGTGCTGTCAAACAGTCCACGAAAAACAAGATTTTTGAGGGATAAATAAACTTATGTTGTATATTTTACAAGTGTTTCATGTGCCTGTTGTGATCATCAGGCCTACGTAGAGGAAATCATACGATATCTGCTTTATATGTTTAGCCATTGATATGGTAAATCATAACTTTATCTTGCATCGTATTTAGATGAATTTCTGATAATTCAAAACTTCTGATAATACAAACAAAATTCATGGCTTCCTGGATTTTGAATTACTGAGAGTGTACTGTATGTCTTTGTGTTTCTCATATCACTCCACCCAACCGGACAAGCATGTGACAGCCTCCGAGCCACGAATTGACTCCACTGGCTTGTAGCTTTCATTGCAGTCCATTGTGAGGCAAAACGGAGTGCAGCTACGAGTCCCGAAGCGGACAAGCGCAATACAGTGCCCACTCACCGGCTAAGGGAGCTCCAACCTGGGTGCTCGGAGCGCACGTAATGGCCAGGTACTGGAGCACCTGCTTGGCAGCCCCCGTCTTGCCCGCTCCGGAGCGCCCCAGGAACAGAACCGTCTGGTCCCGCCGGGTGGAGACGAGCGCCGCGTGCGCCGCCTGGGCCACCGCAAACACGTGCGGTGGCAGGTCGTCTGCCGGGCAGTCACGCAGCAGACGCATCACCTGCGAGAGTGTGCAACACTGAGAAAAAGTGCCACCCTGCAGGCTCCAGAGGTGCTCTGAGCCATGCCATCATTCGAAGAACTGTTCATGTTTCGTCCTTTCGCACTGGCGTGCGCTTAGAGTTTTACCCCTTTGCACCGGTGTGTGTGTCGCGCTTTGCCCTTTTGAGCTGGTATGCTAGAGGCAACAAGTAGTGCGAGGAAGAGTCTGGGTTTGCTGGATGGGCTCGGAAACTTATCTCGCTTATAAATCAATTTCATGTAGTTAATGACTGTACTAAATCGACTCTTAATTTGAAATAACTTCATAAAATAAGCTGATGCGTAATAACTTAAAATGAATTGAACATAGAAGGTCAGAGCACACACAGCGTCTCTTGTAAGAATGGACAGTTGGGCTGTGTCCTTGTGTTCTGCGCTGTCTTTCCCCATGAGCATCTCTTGTGCTGTCTGTGTTCAGTTTTTCTATATATTGAATTCTTTCTTATGTTTTTACATTATACATTTTTTACACAAGTCATTGCATAGGGTGTTTCAAGTCACCAGGCTCGATCTAAAATGTACCACAAAAATCGACGCCTGCACTTAGCAATCTAAACTTTTCATCTAGGGTGTAATTCACAGGTCGTTTTAGAGCACAGCTCTTAGGCGCCCGTTTCCGGCTTGAGCGGCGTCGGCGTAACCGCGCAGTGCATTATGGGAAATGTCCCATAATGCACCGTGCAAGCCCCCCCCCCCCCCCCGGAGGACATTGAAGAATGAGGGGAGGAGGAGGAGGAGGAGGGGTATACCCTCCCCTGAGTACCCTTCCATCCTCCTCCTCAAGAGCTGCGCTTCAATTCGGCGTTACAGGGAGTTGTAAACGGCTTTCACTTTTTTTTCCCTGTAAAATTACAAATCGCAGCTCCCTTTCTGTAAAATATAGACAATCAAGTCGAGTAGCAGGGTGCGTTTAACACTCGCATTAATAGGCGGCGCTACCTCCTTATCGAGATTGCTCTCAACCACCGTTGTTTATTAAAATGAACATAATCTTTTTGTAATGTACCTCTGGTTAAAAAATAAATGCGGAAAGTCGACACAACCCTGTGAACGAGCCTTTATGCTTATACTTATTGTCCAACCATTCCTCAAAGGCCTCGAGTAGTATTAACAATAAATAAATACCATTAAATATAAAGCATTTGCTCATGTGACGGTAGGCACCCACCCAGCACTTTTCAAATCCTCGAAAAATAAGCGGACATATCCAGCTCCAACTCTAGAGTTCTAAGCCCACCTAAGCAACTGAGACGCTCCCACACGTCAGCCACTCTTCCAAGTACGTCTGTGCACGGCGGAAATACTTGACATATGCGCATGCCGGTGCAAAGCAGCGAAACCCACCGTCTGCATTTTTGCTTTCATACATACATACTCCGTTTCACTCAAAATGCGGCCGCAGACGACGCTATAATCCAATGGAGCCAATCAAACAGCACCTAAGTGCATTGTCACAGTGCTCATTGACTTTGTGGGTTTGCTGTCCCCAGTAAAACCGATCGAGCAAAGAAAACTGCGTAGGACCACAGAGCGTCCGTCATGCGCAATTAGTATAGTTGGCAGTACCAAACATACAAAGACAACGAGCCGCAGCGACGACGTACATCGCCACCGCTCGACTGGCTCCCCCTAATTGTAGCGTTGGCTGTGGTCAGACTCAAAGTGAAACGGAGTGTAACAAACATCCATCCACCAGCCTTTTCAAGATCATCTCCCACTTTCGGGAGGGTGCTCATGAAGCGTTCTACGGTGAACGAAACTGCGCTTGCCATACGTTCAGACCACAAACCCGTGCACTGTAGCCAAGAACACTTGCGTCCTTTATACATTTACCTTTTCTTTTGCACGTCGTTCTTTCTTTATCGGCTCAAAAAACTTTAGACAATGTTATAAACTACCTTTTCTCGCGGATAGTATGCACATATGATCTCGCAAATACCGCAAAACCTTCACTCTACTGACATGCGACTCCAGGGCGAACTGGTAAATGGTGCCAGCGTGCCAGTGTGTTTTCTAGTCACGAGAGATCTCGAGACCTCGGTCGTAAGCAAAAGCAAGCACGCGAACGGGCCTTTACTCTCCAACGAGACCCACAGGGGTGCTCACCTTCTCCGAGTAGATGGCCAGGGGCCGCTGCGGGTTGAAGCAGAGCAGGGCCGGGCCGGCGTAGCAGTGCACCAGCCCCGAGGCAAAGCGGCCCCTCAGGGCGTGCAGCAGGCCGGCCTCGTTCAGCTGCCGCAGCTGGGCGAGGTCCTCCACAAAGTCCAGCTGGGGCGGGTTTGCCTGCGGACGACATGGCAGGTGTTGGAATCGCATCCAGTGATTACTGTCCCAGAATCCCAAATGGACGGACGGCTTAAGGCATGTCCAAACAGGACACGACAAAAATCGCCTGGCGGCATGACTCTGACAAATCATTCGGCGCTCCGCTTCCAACCGTTTTTTATTTGCCGGGGGCCCCGTCAAATCTCGCCCGTGCCCTCCACGGCGGCCTTGATCGGCTGATCACGTGGGCCCAGAGAGCAACTCACATGCTCTTTTGGCTGTCGGTCAATCACTCAAGGCTTCCGCCATTTTTCAAGTCCTGAAAACGGGAAAGGAAATAACCCGAAGGCGTCATTCCCTTGCCCCGAGGGAAGCGAAACGCACACTTCAACACAGGAATCTCCCAGACCCACCCGAAGCTAGACCCCCTTGGCCTTCCAGCCAAGGCGACGGCGGCAGCGAGGTCAACGAGCAGCGGGAGAAAACCAGTGACAGGTGGCATATGACGTCAAATCTGACGAGCACCGACGTCACAGAAAAGTGGAGGAGGCGAGGAGAAAAGTTGTGATAGTGACTTGGCCACAAAACTTGTCTGGCGATACGACTCCTGCAAAAATCGTCAAGACAGAAGTATCCACTTCAATTTTGCAGGAGTCATATCGTATTTTTGTAGTGTCCTGTTTGGACAACCCCTTACACTGCCCCCAGGGACTACCCCCAACAGCTCATCAAACAGCCAGATGATGGCGTAACTGGGCTTTGGGGAGACGCTTTTGGGGGGATCGATCCCCACACCTGCCCATTTTGATCTGAAAAATTATTGTGCTGGTGTGAGGTTGTGTATTGCTACTGTGTGATGCACGTTAAAGACCCCGGGCTAATGGCAGTACTGCTCTGGCTAAGTTTCTCATCTATAGCATAAACCAGCGTCATCATACATCAAAGGCAGACCGACCTTGCACTATATCAGGGGGGGCCAAGCTGCGGCTCTTCGCGTGTTAAAGTGCGGCTCCCTCCCCTACACCCCTCCCCCCCTCTCCCCCGCCTCCCTCCCGTTCACAGGAGCACTTCCCCAAAAAGAGAAATGGAATGAGTTTTAAATCGAAAGACAGGTTGCGGTTTGGTAGTCTTATGCTACCTTATGTATAATTGGGCTGCTTTTGACTCGGATAGATTGAAAGTAGTTCGAGTTTCGTATTTTGCTCTGGACAAAGTTTGCCCCCCCCCCCCCCCATTCCCGCGGCTCTTGGGAGTTTCGTTGTTTTGTTTGCGGCTCTTAGGCCGGGTCAGCCTGGCCACCCCTGCATTACATAAATGTGTCAAATTTCATTTGCTTTGGTCCGGCTTTGGTTTCTCTAGTGTTTTCACGTTTGAAAGAAGTATCTTTCTGAAACATTTGTGACTAATATGTCTCTGCCGCTAATATTCAAATTTCTCTCAACATCTCTGGCAAGAGTGAGAGCCTTCTCGGCTGCCAACTGGATGTGAGGCAACAGCTTTTTGCTGGAGTAGCAGTAACAGTTACTCAGTACTGATTGGGTTTGGTGACACTTTTCACCCACAGACCAATCATGAACTTGGTTTTGTAACCCCGGATATGCTCCTCCAGTATGATGCATCGTTTTACGTTTGCAAACTACTTACGGCTTGTCGATTGCTTGTTTCGTGAAATAGCAGACGTCTGCAATTTAGGCTCACACTCTATCATTTCGCCTGCCCGTACTCAATTCATACTAGACAATTCTTATTTTTTCGGTTCTAATGGCAAATGGCACATAGCTGTTTACTTGTTTACTCTCGTCAGCAGGTCGCACTTCATAGAAGACAGCTGTCTGCTACGAAGTGTCATTTGCTCTTTGCAAGCATTAACAAACACATCATCTGCAAAACAATATTTTGGCTCACTTTGTGAGAGTCAGCTTAGACGCTGCTCTCGCTCTCAAGCAGACCAAGATCCGAACCCCCGTTCTGACCTTAGCACGCGGTGTGGGCCCTCAGCAGGGCGGGTGCGCAGCTCCAAATGCTGGTCAGGGGGGTGGGATGGAGGGGGAGGGCATGTTTATGAGACATACCCTCTGCATTTGCAGGGAGCAACAGAGAGCAGTCATAGGCACTTTTGCAGAAATTCCCGATGATGTCACAGTACGAAGCAGCGGCATCAGTCTTGGAGCAGGCGATACTGGCACTGATACGACATTGGTATGCCCTCTCCGAACTTGTGTTTTTGTGGCACTCAGACCAAGACGCCATTACAGAGCTTCAGTAAGTTGTTCCGATAACTTTGATAACAATATCAGATAATCTGACGATGCGTTTGTGCGTGCACTGTATTGCTATCCGGTATTGTTACTGAAGACATCGGAATGATATAATAAAACTCCCTATCATTAGGGAGTTCTAGAATAGCTTACGCAAAGAATAGCATCGTCGTCACTACGCATACGCCAAATGCTAACCGCGTTTTGTGCTTCAAGTGTGCTATTTAGCATACACTATTTTTTAGAAATTGTACGCGCATGCAAAGAGTTTTTGCATACACGGGAAGGAAGCATTCACAATGTACAAGAAGTTGGCTAAAGCCAAGACAAGCACAGTTAGAAAATGGCGGCTCCCAGGACTGCAGCGGCTGCCGCTTTGGCAATCGTTCTGGGTGCAACTTCGGCGATGTCTTCACGATTGCGATTTTCAATACAGGACGACATTGCGCTTCTATGAGAGGTGCACGTCACAAATGGTTTGGAAGACCCAGCAAGGTGCGGAACAATTGCCGGCAACTTGCTGCTGTCAATGCGCAAACGTTTCTCGGCAAAAGTATGGTGGGTATGTATGCGAAGGTCAGTACTTGAGACCTCTTGCCGAGGCGGGGCGACGCAAGCGGACACGACCGGTTGACCGCTCCCGTCACATTCTCATATTTAAACAAATCAAAAATGTTACTGTGGACCAAACAACTTCCTTTTTCCCACGTTACAGCATTTCGTACATGAAATAAAAATTGTAACAGTTTCCTGATGGCGTTGCAAGTGCGAGATGCTCGGGTTTTTGCGTCACGGCGGAGAAACACTATTCTAAAACTCTCTTGGGTAGCATATGCTTACGCAAGCACTACATTTAGCGCTGGCGTGCGCTACAATTGTGTTAATTTTTTAAAACTCCCTATTAAGCATCTCGAGAAAAGGACCCACCAAATTGCTCTGTATGTCACTTTGGCTGCAGCGAGTATGTTTTGGAAATACGATAAAAGACCTCACCTTGTCGACGTCCTCCTGATCGACGTCCAGGAGCTCCCCCGTAGCGTCCAGCCGCACCCTGACCCTGCCCTCCCGGGGAGTCACCTGGTCCCCCTTGACTAAGCTGGCCCCCGCATAGCCTCCATCAAACAGCACCCACACCTTCTCCGACTGCAGCCACTGGCGCTCCTCCGCTATCTCCTCGTCCGTCTTGGCCTAAGGCAAATGGAAGCACCATAAAAAACCTGGGATGGGTTGCTTGCTTCTATGATCGAGGACTGCACCCTCCTCTCGGAGAGTGAAGCACACCAAAGTTTCTGCCATATGAAACAAGGTAATGAGGTAGGCATGCTGATTCACAACAAAAATCAAAGGTAGGGTAAAACACTGCAGGAGACCCGTGTGTTGCAACAACACCTCAGAGATAACACAAACACAGTGCTAGATTTGCTACCCCACCAGCTGGAGGTCATCGCAGAGTGCAGATTGGGCATGAGCGCTGCGCCAGCACTTGGCCACTGCTCGTATTCTCACCGATTGAGCTCGAGTTCCAGCAGAACACCGATGCAGTTCTCGTGTCCAATCTCTGCCCGCGTCTGCCTCCGGCAGGCGACAATAAAAATTCAGCCCTATGGCTTCACTATCTTGGAGGCATTGGTTGCCCGCAGATCTCTTGGACCTCGGGTCTCCGTCCTCGACTCGCTTGCAACTTTTAAGAACAGGCAAATGACCGCTCACCCCGAGCGTCCTGTGCCTGCGGCTGCCCGTGCGCGACAGGGTGCGGTGGCGCCCCTGCGTGGCACCCGGCGGCCCCCCTCCGGCGACCCTGGCCACGATCTCGCACAGCTCGGGCAGCGGCTGCACCTTGAGGCTGACGCGGTCACCCGAGGACCGCACCATCTCCACGACCTCCTCACGGGTCCGCTCGTCCACACTCGCGCCGTTCACCTCGAGTAGCCGGTCGCCCGGTAGGAGGCCCGTGCCGCCGCCGCCGCTGCCCAACGTGCTCGGCTCGGCGAACATGAGTGTTCGCCGGCGGTCGTCGCCCGCCAGCCCATCCGAGAGCGCTGAGCGCCGCAGCGAGAACCCAAAGTCCCCCGACGGCTGCCGCACCACTGTCAGGACCCTCGGCTGCGGACAGCGCAGCGCCGCACGGATCGGAGGCAGGCATAAGCCTGCAGAGACCGGTGTGGCGCGTGCGGCCGGCGCTTGTGCATCGACGACGGCGTGTCCGTTGCGCACGGCCTGCTTGAAAACGCTGGCCAGGGGCTGCGCCACCAGGCTCGAGGACCGGGGCGCGGGCCGGTCGGGTGGCCGCGCCTTGGGCACGCTCAGCGTCCGTGCCACTGCGGGCTTTTTAGGCGGCACCGGCGGTGGCTTCTTGGCATCCGTCGGCGCGGGTCCGGCGTCGGTGGCTGGGCAGTCGTCCTCCTCCGGCAGCGGAGACACGAGCGCGCCTCCAGCGCGCGTCGGGATCGGCCCAGAGATGACCAGGTGCCGACGGCGCCCGTCGCCCGAGGAGGAACCCTTCTTGTCATCGCGGCGCTTGGACTTGTCGTCCTTGTCCTTGGCCTTCTTCCACGGGAACATCGCTGCTGCTACGACCGCTCCGTGACTCAGCTATCTGGTAGGGGAAAAGGAGCACACCTTCTAAGGGCAGTTGTAGAAAATATGCGAAATAAACAGGAAAAAAGCTGCCAACCGTAGCAGTTTCATTCCAAGTGTGTCGCAGAGGCTATTATTGAAGTTCCCACGCAAATCCATCTACAAAACAATCTTTTTTTGTGTGCGTTTCGACAAGCTGGAAAGCGGGCAGAAAGTACAAAACCAATAACCAGTCAGTCAGGCCACCCAGAATCCGGTAGAGTGTGTATCTACACTGCATTTCATTATAAGCGTGAGCGAAGAAGAGCTACGAGAGCGAGCGCTATGATCCCAGCATGCCTGCCATGCACATGCGCTCGTGAAGCATACTTGGATAACAATTCAATTACCGCAATTGATTTAAGATAATTTCATTTCGTCTTGAGTAATTTGTAACTGTAAATTCACTACTTTTTGCAGAAACTAATTGTAATCGGCTTAAATTACTTCTCAGAATCAGTATTTGACAAATTTGATTTACAATTACAACTACTTGTTTTGTGAATTTGTCACCTGGAAATTTGGTTCATATAAGTCACTGAGAGGCAAAACTAGATAGAGTGTCTGCCCCATTGCCCTTCTGCCAAATCATTGAACTTCAGAAGTACCGAGTGCAAAACATCATACTTCGAAAGTACCGGGTGCCAAACATGGACGCACAGCCAAGTAACCGTCAAGGCCGCAGCGCTTGCAGGAGGGCACAGAAGATGCCCCACATGATGTGAGAGTGCCATCCATTGCCAGCATGGAACGAACGAATCAAAACGGTACAACTCTGATGTTTACAGGGTGTCCCTATAAAAGATTCGCAGCGTGTTTTTCATTGCAAAAATAAACGATGCATTGCCAAACACACACACTCTGCCTAAATGTAGCCCTAGAAGTTAAGACCAGATGCTAAAGTGTCAGAACCATCTCACTCAAAAAAGTTGTAAATGATCAGCGGAAATTTTAAATGGAAAATTGGTGGTCGACGAAACCCACAAATACACCGAGAACAGGCCCCATTTCCCCATTTAAAGTTTCAGAAAATCCCTTGAAACTTTTGAATAAGGTAATGGTTAGCTCCGACAATTTTACGTCCGGGCCAGACCACTAGCCGTAATGCTACATTTGGGTGGAGATGGAGCGTTTGGCAATGCGGTTTATTTTTGCGGTGAAAAGAACACTAAATGTTTGTAGGGGTCACACTGTATGTTTAATAGCTTATCTTGGCTCGTGTCGACCATTTCCAGCATAGTTAGTGAGTTTCATCCCCTATCAAATTATTTGAATGTCAACAGCACAAAAAATTATTTGTGCTGAACTGCCATGATAAAAAGAACACTAACAGGGTCGGTAGATTTGCAAAATTTTAATACCAACTGACCCGTATCCCTCAGAATTCAGCTCCTATATTATACCATTAATGAAGGCAGCAAAAGAATGGCAAAAACTGAGATGACTGCAAAATGCCCATACTATACTATACTCGTAATGAGGATGTCTGGGAGGTACCATACAGCAGAACAAGCTATGGAATGCAGATGTTGAGACACCACTTCCCATCATTATTGAACAATCTAAGGAGCAACAGCTTCACCAGAGAAACACTAACACCTTGTGCCATCAAAAATATGTTTCTGTAGCTCACTTATCTTGTCTAGTGCCTCATGATATCAGTGTTGTATTTCCCGGTTACAAGTGTCTACGCGCTTTTCTCGCTCGTCTTCCTGCTGCATGATTATCGATTTTGTTTACTTTTTTTTGACAATTTCTTATTCGCGTTTGCCAAGAAAACGGGGGTGGGGCCCAGTCAAGCCAACATGTGTTGGCTTTTTGTCCATGCCCCCGTCGTCTGTACATATAGACAAAAAGATAAACTGAAACTGATCTTAAATGTTAAGATAATGAGTGGACAAATATGTCTCAGTGCGGAAAAATGCTATCGCATCAACACCAATGAAGTCCGGTAACTCTCCAAGTAAGGTAATTTCAAAGTAATTGCATTGCTTTCTAAAAGTAATGTCTAACTGTAATTCAACTGCTAGTTCTGAAGCACAGTACAGGGTGCCTGCAAAAAAACATTCTGAATTTACTGTAAAAATATGCTCAGTCCCTGACCAAAAGTAGTGCTAGGGGTTCGGACCAGATGCCAAAGTTTCAGAGCTTGCAGTTATCTGACTCCAAAGATATAAGTGATTTTCAAACAGTTTTAATGAGAAAATGTGGCTTGTTCTCAGTCACCGATGTCATTCACCTCCCCGCATTCATGGGTTTCGTTGGCCATCATTTTCTCATTTAAATTTTCAGAAAATTGTTTATAATTTTTTTAACACTCAATAGGCAATGCAGTTGAGTTAAAAAGCAGTAAAATGAAAAGCCTCGCAATCGAACTGTAATTCTTTATGCACTTTGCATGATGGAATAAATATGTGTTTTAGTGTGTTTCAGATTAATGCTTTAGAAGCATCAAATGAAAATATGGAAGGCGAAAAGTTGTCGGCTTTCTTCCATTCAGTTTATGTTTCCGCACGTCCCCTTCCGCGATATTCCGGCAATTTAAAATTCCAAACTGGAAGTACTTTACAGACCTTATCTATTGCCCTCATTCTCTAAATTGAATTCTGAGAAGCGTTAAAAATTTGAATCGGAAGACCTGGCGCTCTCTAACTGCCCCTACTGGCAGAGGAGCCTGAAGCGACCATTTCACGAGTCAGCAAAGCGAAACACCGTGCGAGTACAACATTTATTGTTCACCAAGGATGTAACAAACAGCAATACCACCCGCGGTGGTGCATGTAGTTTTGCGTCTAGGGGGGCACTTGCAAGTGTGTAATCGTCACTGTACATGTACGGCAATGATCATCAAAGGGTTAAAACAGTGGTTCTCAGGCTGTGGTCCGCAGACCTCCGGGGTCCTCAGAACAGACCCCAGGGGTTTGCACCAAATAAAAAGACCGTTCTAAAAAAAAAAAAAAAAAAAGCTCTCCTATGGCATCGCACAAGACCTGTGATGCAGAATGCATTACGATTCTCCAAACAACCTCCGAGTAGGTCAGGGGGTCCATAACGGCCAAAAGTTTGAGAACCGCTGGGTTAAAGTCACGGTTAATCTACTGCATATATTATTAACACGCATAAGGTAAAAGCAAGGCCCTGAGAAATAGAATGACCGTACAATGTTTACATTCCTTTTATTCCCAGCTTTTTGGTATGTCAGGACTACGAATTCAATGTTATTATTGATGCCAGTCATGCCATTTGTTTCTTTCTGTCGATCTGCAATCTAAAAGGCTAAAAAAAAAACCGGAGGTGAGTACCCGTTAGAAAATGCACATGTCAATCCACATTTCCTGTACGTGTATAAATATCAATAATGACAAAAAATAAAAGCACTAGCTGAATTTTTATAAAAATAATTATATTTCGTTTCTTGCCAGACTGAAGTGAAGTTTTGCAATTGACTTGAGGTCAGTCACATTCAATCTGTATGGTTCAAGGTTCATTGAATAAGTGGAGTGTCTAGTTTACAATGTCAGATGCAGCTTACATTAGTCCTTCTGCTTACTGAACTTCTTTAGTTTCCGAGTAAAACTTTTCGAGAAAGCGGAACAATTTCAATACTTTTAAGGAGCATTTCAAAGAGCAAGCTTTTAACTGTCTTCTTCTGTTGTTAATACTGAACCAACATAATCCAGTTTTGGAAAAGGGCAGAACCGGTAACCATTATTTAGAAAACCTGAACCATTCAGAAAAACTGGAACAAAAACTAAACTCATTTTAAAAAAACACTGAACTGGTAACTATAATCAAAAAAACCTAACTCCAAAAAAATTGGAATAAGGAAATTACTGGTTTTTAGGGAATTATTGAACCGGTAGCTGATAATTACAAAACATGAAACCCCCCAAAAAATGGAAGGAAATCGATTTGATAGTCTTTACGGTCACCACAACCCCAACCGAACAGTTATTTTGTTTCTAGTTCGAGTCCTCATTGCCCGTTGCTCTCCAATGACCTCGTGCTGGCTTTATCTCGAGAGTCGTCTGACAACTTTTCTAAACGTTTTATGACCGTGCGCAGATGCTTCCTCGATCATTCACCGCCAGCACTGCCGTTTAAAGGCGGACAGCAAAAGGAATGCCACGCAAACCAACTTCCAATCGAGTTGCACGAAGCCGTATCGAACAGAATTCCTCAAATACCGTCGAGCCCCTCCCCGGATAAACGTGCCGCCGAGCCAAAGGGGAGGAGGGCGAGGTGCCCTGCCTCCCAGCCGTGGCAGCAGGTCACCTGCCCTCTGGCTCCTCCGTCACCCAGTTTCTCAGCTGTGGACAAACTGGTTTGGGCCAATTATGCCCACCCCTGCCTCCTTCCAGCCTGCCTTGGCGTGCACACATGCCCGGGAGTTCCTGCGGCTGCCCATGCAGGCGGAGGGAACAGTACCGCCTACGGGAGTCGGAAGTTGTCGGCGCTCTTCAGGGGGGCAGTCGGCGTGACGGGCATCCCGTCAATGAACGACTCCCTTTAACGGCTTGCCTGAGCTCGGCACAAGGTCGCGCTGTGGCAACGAGCCTGCCGTAGCTGTTTTAAATGAGATGTCATTTCTAAGGTCACTGAACCATGAAATTGTGCGCGTCCATCCGACGTGGCTCGACGGCTAAATTTGGCGGGGAAATTGAACTGGTGTATCATTACACACCAAATTAGGTTTCCCCGCTGAAACTGGCTAGAAACATTACTTCACCAGTTATGGAAACGTTTCCCCGCAGGTAAGCGTTTCCCGCAAAACTTGGCAAGAAAATCTGAATTGGCGTGTAATTAAGCACCAATTGAATCTAAGAATTCACAGGAAAATGGCGTTGCACTGAGCGCCTGTTCCCCAAATACTATTGCATAACATCTTATTTAGCAGCAGCCAGATAGAAGATGTAGTTTCTGTCCAGGATGGGTCCATCCAGAAACAAGTCTTATGCAGCAGAGGTATGGAGAGATGAAGCCTACGAAAATGAACCTCAACCTTCAAACTTTCTCAGAAAAAAGAAAAAAGAAATGAGCCAGCTACCTTATCTTTAAAGTTCTATGATGCATAACATCATAGTTCTATGATGCAGTGTTTAAGAAGTAATAATTTTAATTTGTTTAGAAGACTATATACAGTCTTTTATAGTATACATGCCTTGCACCTGACGTCATCCCATCAGCTTTCTGGCCACCACCAGAGAAGACGGGAAGGAGGAACTCCCTTATCACTGGGACTCTTTTGTATCCCCAGACTTGCCCAGGCCTCGCTATTCTCCCTCTAGAAGATTAGAGAAGATTAACCTGTCACTCAAAATTCATACAAAAGCAGCTTTCCTCCCTCTCTCTTCCGTGGTGGTGCGAAATGATGTGACATCAGTGCAAGGCATGTAGTACAGGTTACGTCACGTCGCATCACTCGATGTCAATTTTCCCACTAAATTTAGCAGGGTAACTGAATTGATCTGTATGTCCCGTGGTGTCAGGTCACGTGACATCAGATTTCCTTCAGCGGAGAGACTGAATTTGTGTTCACGTGACATCAATTTCCCTGCTAAACTTAGCGGGGAAATGCACGGACGGACGGACGGACGGGCAAACGGACATGGACAGATTGCACTCTTTCGTAGCATTCATTGTGAGCACTGGCACCAATAAATAAAATGTGCAATCGAACCTCATTTCACCTCTCCCAGGCAGGACCACTCCATAAAGATTAGACTAGTCACACCCAAAACTGACGCTTTTGAAAACTGGTTGTCTTATGAAATGCAAACTAGCAGTCTTTTTTTTTTTAAATTTAATTGACTCTTAACATGCAGCTGTAAATGTACTCTGCTGGTTTGAACTGTGTTGCATTCTGCTGAGAGACAGTATCTTCCATTATCAACTCCTTACTGTGATGCCCTCATGTGCCCCCCCCCCAACGCAGCTTCCCTGCAATAAAAAACGAAATATCCTGGCAATCTGTCGCATCACCACGTGAATTCTAAGGAGGGGTTCCACCTCTCTTTATAATTCTATCCTGTCCCTCGCTGCAAGATGAAACTTTCGGGTAGATATGTAGCCCTAATAAAACCAGAAAAATATGAAAATGTGAAGTTACAGCACCTCCTTAAAACCAAGTGCATCTGTCTGTAGACAACAATTCTGTCGGGACATTCGGGGCAGCTGAGAAACTTTTCTACAAATGTTTGCTTTCTGGACCAAAAGTGCACCAGTAAGACAGGTTCAGTCTAATCGACCTGTAGAACCGGGACTAGTTTGTGTGAATCAGGATTGAGCACTCTCTGGGACTGGTAACAGCCCTCAACTTTAAAAGTCACTTTTAAATCTTTTCATGACCAGTGTTGTCAGGAAACAACAGATTAGAAAACATTTCCATTCTTCACTATTCCACAAAATCTGTTTGTTGCATCGGTAGTGGTTGGCGGTGAGCTGGCATCCGAAACGTTAGGCTACATTCGAGGTATTATGAGCCTTTCCGCAAATTCAAGCGACAGTGTTTTGCTAGGTTGGCGACAGCTGCCATTCCAGTTGTTGCAGCGGCAAACGAGATTACCAGCTGAACAAACCCTGCCTCTTGTTCTACTTACAGTTGAGAGGGGGAATAAAATTTCCGCTGCAGGCAACCCCCTTCCCCATCTTGCACCGCAGCCACTGGGCCAAAGCTCTTTCCCAGAGTTCTCGGTGCAAGACCCAAGCTCCAGATAACCCTTCAACCCACAGACAACCCCCATTCTCACTAGCCAAACCCAACAATATTGCAGGTTACGCAAAGCACCGGGAAAGATGAAAATGCTCGACTGAATGAGCAAGCACACACACCACAATATTGTGGCGAAGCTTGAAAAAAACATAATGACTGCAACAACTGGGGTCCACTGCTCCATGCAAAGTTGTTTCCTAATCTGCTCAGTCTATGAGCATAACTTGTGTACGCAATCAATTGAGCCCCTTGGAAACTGGCTGCCGGAGCAAACAAACACTTGCTCAAACTGCAATACTGCACACTTCTGAATTCTCTGAGCAACACTTGACTGCTAAGCAACCTGAGCTGCCTCCAACCCTGGTCAGGGCAGCTGGCACTGCTTTGACCAGGGGTGTCGCAAGTCTTTCCAGGTTTCTAAAAAGATAGAAACTTCCGAGCCTCTAAGTCTGACGTTTAAATAGTTCAAGCTGGAGAAATTTAAAAGTTGCAAACAAGCCAAGTGCCTCGGTACAACAGTCTCGAAAATCCTAAATTTATTTGAGCAGGTTAAGTCTGGCAGGAATAAAACTAAACCTAGTCCCATAGACCATATATTCGGTTTGGTTTTAAAGCAACTCAGCCAGATATAAGACAGACTTTAGACAAGAAGTTTTTGCTGCAATTCTGGGCTTGCTGACAAATTGTTGCAACCAGACTAATTTGGATCTAAGCTGACAACTCGATTGCTGCGACTCGAGAATGTTTTGCGAGGCAAAAACGGTGTCAGGGTTATGATATTTTCAGTTGACCCTCTGTGGTTGTGATGATAAGAGCTGAAGAAGGTGCTTATTCCGGTTTGCTGTTGACACATTTTCACAAGCCAGGTAGTAGTTTCAGGCAGCCTGTTGCTGTTTGCTGAAAGCCGTCACTTGAACGCTCGATTGAAACACAATTCGAACGGTGTTCGAGCTTTTAGTAGGACCCTCCGTCGGACGGCACCCTAGACACTTCATATTTTAAAAGTTTACATATAGACCTGGCCTTACTCGTCGTTAACTATTTTGTGCTACACTGTCAAGGCTAGCATAGCTTCCACAGTGCTGCAGCTCCGCACTGCTGGGAGAGCACGTGGCTTCGTCTCGCGCCTCCTTCGCAAGCACTCGCGCAACTAGGAACACTGCGGAAGCTACGTTAAGCTTCACAACGTAACACACGCCAAAAGGAGGCTCGCTATCGCGCACGCCTCGATCAGCAGGAAAGCGTCCCAGGCCGTGTAAAGTACACGCGAAAACGGGTCCAAGTCGACCGCTACCTACTTTTCGGGACCAAAGGTCCTCCAATTTTACGTGCGCAAATGACTGACGCCAGCTACGAGCGCTTAGCGCCGGTTGCCCCCAGTTTCTTTCGAAACAACCGACAGCGGGCACAAGCTTGCCGCAGCTGAAGGCCGGGAGGCGCCCTGGGTGCCTCGACGCACCGTCAGCTGCGGCTCGAGCTTGCGAAACAAACCGAAACACCCGTCCGTAGTCAGCCAGGGAAAAGCGAGAGACAGCGCCCGTCCCTTATCACGACCCGCCCCTCCTCGTCGAGCCTGCTCGGCTGTCGCATCCTTCCGCACACACCCGGGGAAAAGGATTACATCCAAAACGAACTCACGAAGACCACGGAAGCCGGTACGGGGCGACCAGCGCGGCTCGAAAGACCGCAACACACACACACACACGGTGAATGACATCCAGTGAACTCGATTGCTGCTGGTTACACACCCACCGGCCAGGCCGTCCATCCGTTCGTGAGCCGTCAGCGCAGCGGGAACGGCGACGGCTGATCGTCCGGCGAAACAGACGTCAGAGCCTTCGGTGCTGCAGGAGAGAAAAACAAAAGCACGAGGCGAGCAGCAGCAACTCGGCGGAAGACGCTCAAAACATCGCAGCCACTCGCGAAAACATTCTGCACGCCGCCATCTTGCCTGACGTCGACAACCGCGCCGCCAGCGCCCCTACGCGCGCGCCAGCGCGCGCTTCCACGCCGCGAAACATCGCCGGCGGCAATTCGAAACTTGGAAAGTGAACCGATACGTGGTTGATGCAGCGGTTCCTTCCGCCGGGTTTCTCGCCTACGGAGACGGACATTCATCCTTTCCTTTCTCGCAGGGCGACATAGTTCGAGAGCCTTATTTTTTATTTTATTTTTGGAGCTCCATTTGGCGCGCGTAATCGGGCGCACGCGTACTCCTGCGACCCGGCGAGCGAACGTTGGGATACGCAGTTTCCTGCTTGGCAGGCTCTCCGGCCGATTGGGAATCTATGTCGACAGGGCACCGTTCGTGCTGTGCCTGCCGTTGACGCGAAATAATCTCGATAAGGAAGCGTCTTGCCGATACGAGAATCATAAAATGGGGCCCGTTCAACGGTGATCTTATTAAAACAGCTGTCACGAGGGCTATAACCCAGTGCACGTCTGCGCCTCCTCCGCGTTAGATACTTTCAAAAAATTGGAAGCCGAATCTTTTAAATGTTCGTCGCGTGAAATAGCTCACAAGACATCGAACATGTGCTGCGTGCCTGCGGGGTATACAGCTTCCATAGGTATGGTCGCAATGAAGACTCGCCTGGGTTTGCTCAAGGCCGTGCAAGCTCGTCTGTGCATTCATTTTCATTTCGATAATACTTGCACAATCAGGGACTATACTTCTGTATGTCCCCTGATTTTTTCTGCGATTGGATATAGAATGTCTACAATGTCACGGAAGCTTCCCATTAAGGTGTCTCATATGGGCCTCCTGCATTAGCCAGGCGGCGCCACCACTTCTTGCATGATATTGATAGCACTATATTTCGTCATTGTTTTGAACTATTGGGGTGGCGGTTTTTCCGAATTTATAACGCTGAACAAGACTCAAGATTCTAAAAGTTGAACGAAGTACGTGTCATAACCTAAACCCTGAAAGGAGGAAATCAGATCACGGACAAGGAGACACAAAATATCAAACGTTTGTGTTGGAAAAGAGGAACCAAAGAGGGTCTTAAACTCCTGAAGGTTAATGCGAGGGTGCAGGCGAGCTAGTTAAGGCCACGGTCCCACTGAATGAGGCAGTTTAGGTACTTTTTGGCAGGTCATTACTCATCTCCTTTAAAACACTGTTTTGTGGGATTGATGTCATTCGAAAGGCAATGCAATCCTCTTTCACTTGATATTATGTATGTGTTGGTTTTTACTGCTCATGCGCGTTTGTAGCGTTGCGAATACGATGGCGCGGACCCTCACTTGCTCCTCTAGTTCATGTTTTATGAACGATCCATTAAAGATAGCACGGTTCCAATATAGCAGTTTTGTTAAGATGATGTCGGAGCAGAAAGTAACGATACACTTTTTTGGTATTTGCACTACTTTGTTTTTTTCATCCCTCTAAATATTGCCTTAAAATCGACATTTTTCAGCACAAATATGTTTTTAACGACAAGCGCCAGGGCAATGAAATTAGCTACAGATGTAGTGCTTATAATTGGTAATATGCAAAAAAAAATTTAATGTTGTGTAAAATTTTTTTGTTTAGATATTTTATATCAAGCGTAGTACTTTTTTGTGCTTCGAGTCATGGTACTTCAAATGCCGCTGAGGAAATACTTAAACTATCATAATATCTTTTATAACATTTAGAGCTACAATGGTTGCCCAAGAGGTGGACGATGACTTTTTTTCATTTTCAAAGCCATAACGCTCCAGGAGTTCTTCAAACTTACCTGTTTTTGAGGCATATATTTTTTGGACATCGAACAGATTTATTGGCATCTAATAACATTTATTGTTTGGAATAGATATACATTGCGATGTATTAAATTTCCACAATGATCTTGCGTTGGTTTTTTAATAGGTGTAGAGCTCAGCCAATTTTAAAAACAATTAAAAACTGTTTGGGTGTTTTGTTGCGCTACCTGGCGGATGGCAGACAAACTGCTGATTTCTAGTGTTCGAAAAAATTCCGAAGGCGGCGTTGGCGTCTGTATCATCATCAATCTCCGTGTCTTTTTACCTTCACATTTAAAAAATATATTGGAAGATTTACTATCGATAAATGAATGGTTTAAGTACTGGGCCAGGTTAATAAATCTAAGACAAATAATTACACAGGCGTACCGTGATATAATGTGTTCATTATTCGATATTATTGAAATCAATAAACAATAAAGACGAAGAGGAAAATAATACACCCGAGTTCACTTCATGCCTAGAGTCACTATATGAGCTTTAAAGTATCGGCACTCCGTTCCCCAAAATTGTTTTGGGCGCCGCCATTTTGGGCCTTTTTCAGAGCAAACGCAACTGCCGATCATCATGATCCAAAAGTACGACCTCCTCAGTATTAGATGCGGTGCTAGGAAGCTGATGCAATATTGCAATGCTCTGTCGCGGGTTGTTTAAACATTTGTGGGGGACGGAAAATCGTTTCCTGTGATTTTAGATAAAGCTTCAGGTAACTGGCAAGCCACAATATGGCCAAGTGTCGTTACTCTGAACCGTAACTAATTTACTGGTACATGCGGGAACAACGATGAAGAGGCAGGTGTAAAAAGGTAGTGGCTTGTGGAATACACTTGGCTTACGTCATGGCCCCTCCAGGTATTACAAGTTTCTTGAACAAGAGCATGAATAGTGTCATTAAATAAGCTACGCGTCAGAGTAGCGACACTTCGCCATACTGTGTCTTAAAATCATGGTTGCCAGTTATTTGAAGCTTTATCTGAAATCACAAGAAACGCTTTTCCGTCCTCCACTTTAAACAGTGTGCGACAAAGTAAAGCAACATTACATGAGCTTCCTAACACCGAATCTAATGCTGAGGATGTCGCACTTTTGAGTCATGACGATCGGCAGTTGCGCCTGCTCTGCGCAAGCACCAAAATGGCGGCGTTCACAACACTGTCGGGGAAGAGAGTGCCGATACTCTAAGCACAGCTAATTTATTTGCTCTAGTTCCCGCGAAACTCCTTTTCCCTGACTGAAACTGAAAGTAATTATGAATATTACACCATTATTATAGCGTATTTAGTTATAACCAACTACACATAAGGAGAGGAGGAAGCGACCGGGTAGGAGAAACGCGGGTTTTATGTGCGACCGTTCTAACCGTCTCAAAAGAGAGAACGCGCGAGCTTGCGCTGGTTTAAAAAAAAAGGCATCCAAAGAAAAGAGGCGGCACGTTCTGTTCTTTGTTAGTATACGTCTAATTGCAAATTGTTGCGTGTATGTTTATACAGCCGGAAGTTAGTCTGCCTTAGTGGGCGTCTGGTGTCTCAGCTGTAGATGAGCAATTTAGCCAGTGCTGTACAACCGCAAACCTGGGGTCTTTAACGTGCACCACGCAGTAGTGATACACGACCGCACGCCGGTACGATGCTCTTCCAGATCGAAATGGGCAGGGGCGGGGTGGGTTCTGCAGCGCGAGCTCTCGATCCACGTGCTCCAAGCTGGTGTGCGCTAGACCATGCACTCGGCCACCGACCCCCCCCCCCCCCCCCCCCTTTCTTGTGCGTCTAATTTATATACAGGTATAAGTATTTGAAGATCGACGATGGACGTCGATCGTCTCGAGGTAATGCAACGTAATAACATTATATAAATAATGAAGTTGTTAAAGGACTGAACGACTCAATTTTTCAATTCTCGGATTGTAATATGGCGGTAGCTTATTGTGCTTACAATTGATGAAGAGCAATATGAGGTGACGAGGTAATGGTTAAATGATGAGGCTCTATAAGGACGACGACATAGTGGGTGTCGAACCGCAACGTACAATGCCAGACTTGTTTCAAGCATCGTGTACCCAAAGACTTTCCCCACCCGCAACAGAATACGGTAGAATTAATGAGGATGCTGCTTTACAAGTGTACGTGGAACAGGAAAACTGCACTGTGCAGAAGCACAGCTTATTCGCTAATATGAGGGACGGATTTCTAGCAGCATTCCCTGATTGACTACTTGGAACAAATGGCCTCGTTGACGTAAAGTGTCCCCGTTCCAAAAGATTCTTGAAGCATACTTAAACCGCAAAGGAGTATGAGGCGAAAAATAAGAAAAAAGAGCCTGGTGTGAAAGGTCCAAATCACCACCATAGCTTCTACTATCAAATACAAGGGCAGTTACACAATAGAGAAAGAGAGTTTTGTGATTTAGTTATATTTACACTCAAGGGCATTGATATCCAACGCATTCAGAGAGATGACACCTTCTGGTCAACCAAAATAGAGCCTTTTCTACTCAAGTTTTACATGGAAGGCCCGACTTCCGCTGAAATTCCTCACGTAGACGAGTTGTCCGACCGAATAAACTGGAATTACTCCCGATTTGGGAATCTCTTGATCTTCGTTTGTAAGCCATAGTATCATGAGATCGAGGGGTGTGGCTCTTCGTCCGCCGGATATTGCTGCGGCGGGTGTCGCGTGCTGCTGGAACAACCTGGCGATTCTTCATTGAACTGCTTCTTCTTTAAGCTTCAAAAGGGCTTTTTTTTTTCTTTTTTTTTTTTGTTTCGCACATTATCTGTTCTGCTTGCCCGTTAGTTGCAGGATGGTATGGTGCACTAATGTGATGCCTGATGCCAGTTTTTTTTCTTCACAAACTTGTTTATTTTGTTTGAAGCAAGATTTGGCGCGTTATCAGAGGAAAGTATTTTGGTAGGGCTAAAGTAGGTAAAAGAGACCGTAGAACGTCAATGACGTGTTTGGACGTCGTGGCAGGCATCGTGTAAACTTCCAGCCACTTAAAGTACGCATCGCCCGTGACTCCGCAGATGCGGATACGTTTCGCCACCCACCGATTTTATAGTGGATTGTTGGACTCAAGGAAGAGTTCGAATCTTTCCAGAAAGTTAGCCTAGGTGCCAGGACTTTTGTCGAAAGCGGTAAGTGTTCGAAACGTCGACAACGTCGGTAGCCACGTGTTGTGCTTGACACTGGACACTTACCATTCGCTGAAAAGAAACTT